TTTTTCACTAGAGATGGGGTTTCACCGTGTTGCCCAGGCTGGTCTCAAACTCCTGAGCTCAGGCAATCTGCCTGCCTTAGCCTCTTAAAGTGCTAGGATTATAGGCATGAGCTACTGTGTCCAGCCTGGCCCTACTTTTTTTAAAAGTAGGAAAAAAAAACACCAAAAACCTAACTATGGGATAATTGATCAGCAATGCTTGTAGAAAAAGATTTTGATCAAAAGGGGGACATATAAAACTTGTCAGGGTCAAAAAAGAGTCGCTTGTGTCAAACCCTGAAATATGGACCCAGAGGAGGCCACAAAGGGAGGGTTGTCACGCTTGTAGACCTGATAAGGACTATCACAAAAGACTGGCTGCAAAAACCACAACCTTGCACAAAGGCCGTCACAACCTTACACAAAAAATATTTCTGTGAGTACATCTGCCTAGCAACTGCCTGTCCAGTCTTGGCCAGCCCAGTGATGTCACCCTTGTTATTGATTCTTGTAATGAAGAATAATTGTTTACAAACACTTATGTAATCCTTTCATTTTTTTCTTTAAAAACTCTTGTCTTTTATTGCCTCCCTGAATATGCTCACAATGTTCCCATTGCTATGCTCGATCCCAAGTAAATATCATTATCAATCCTGAATAATTATCAATAAATATTTTAAAAATATTTTTAAATGTAAAATATATGCATATATATATTTATAGTATATATAAATATATTTATAATATAAATATGTATAATAAAGTATTATGTGTATGCATATGTGTGTGTGTGTATATATATATATATATATATATACACACACACTGGGGCTAGAGTGCAGTGGTGCGGTCTAGGCTCACTACAACCTCTGCCTCCTTGGTTTCAAGCGATTCTCTTGTCTCAGCCTCCCGAGTAGGTGGGACTACAGGCACACTCCACCACACCCAGCTAAAATTAATAGTAATATATTAATAGTAATATATATATATACTTTTTGAGACAAAGTCTCATTCAGTCACCCATGCTGAAGTGCAGTGGCATGAACATGGCTCACTGCAGTCTCAACCCCTTGGGCTCAAGTGATCCTTCCACCTCACCCCTCTGGATCGCAAGGACTACAGGTGTTCACCACCTTGCTTGGCTAATTAAAAAAAACTTTTTTTTACAGACAGGATCTCCTTGTGGTGCTCAGGCTGGTCTCAAACTCCTGGCTCAAGCAATCCTCCTGCCTTAAGCAATCCTCCTGCCTTGACCTCCCAAAGTTCTGAGATTACAGGCACTTACAGGTGAGCTACTGCATCTGGCTATATATATAAATTTTTTTCATTTAATTTATTATTATTTTTTTAGAGACCAGATTTCACCATGTTGGCCAGGCTGGTCTCAAACTCTTGACCTCGTGATCTGCCTGTCTTGGCCTCCCAAAGTGCTGGGATTACAGGCATGAGTCACTTCACCTGGTCTATTTATATATTTTTTTTAATCCCCCCATCTGTACACTGAGTATGTGTGTGTGTATAATCTATTTTTATGTAGTTTCATGTTTTAGATCTTAAGCTTAAATCTTTGGATTATTTAGCAATTTTTTGGTTTAATGTGTTATATAAAAACCTTTGTTTTTTCTGAACTATTATCCTATAGTACCATGATGTTTTCTTGGGAACTGTAAACTGTACCATAATATTAGGAATCAGTATTGTAATAACACCTACACTATAGGGTGTGTAGTATGTACAAACCCAGGTTCTGGAACCAGAATGTCTGATTGTGTGTGTTGCTTACCATCTGTGTGCCCTTGGACTTTTTTTTTTTTTTTTTTTTTTAGATGAGTCTCACTCTGTTGCCCAGGCTGGAATGCAGTGGTGTGATCTCGTCTCACTACAACCTACGCCTCACGTGTTCAAGTGATTTTCCTGCTTCAGCCTCCTGAGTAGCTGGGATCACAGGTGCTCACTACCACACCTGGCTAATTTCTCTATTTTTAGTAGAGACGGGATTTCCCCATGTTGGCCAGGCTGATCTCGAACTCTTGACCTCAG